GCAACTTCTGAAGAAGAATCAAAAAGCATAGAATCTTATAATAATATTTTGCTGGTAGTTTCAACAGATGGAGCCAACAAAGTTTGCGAGGGAAATATTTTTAGTGCAATATAATATTTAATGAGAATATTTTGCTATGACTGCTTAAATATTCAGGTGAGCGATACAGGCCCTCTTGTTCCTATATAGAGTAACCTCCCCTTAACTTCTGTTTTTCCTATATAGAGTAACCTCCCCTTAACTTCTGTTTGGATATAACTGTAGTACAGTTGGACTGCCTGTACAGCTGCATTGTCCAGGTAGCTCAGTCGGTTTAAGAGATTTTATAACAATCTTTAAGTCCAGGGTTCGAATCCCAGTCCGGCCCGCAGAATATTTTACACTCGGGACACGTTTGTTGATTACATTTTGTCTATTTCATCTTCATCGTGTTTTCATAAGAGTCCCGCAAAGTATACTTTTCTTTTCAAAAATGATTTATCAAAGCTATAGTTATGTAAGAAAATAAGGTTCGATCGCAGAGTGGGTTTTTTTGACAGTGGTACGGGGATCATTAAATCAAAGTCTTCGTTGTGTTGCTTTAATAGGATGGAGAAACTATCCCCTAATTTTAGGTCCTGTCATCACAACATACTCTCTGTAGATAGTATATAACACTCCATGTCATCAAACATCTACATCCTCACTGGTAAGAAACGGTAAATCATGCTTGTATCATGCTTACGAACACATTGTGATTAGATTTCTCCTGTGTGAGTCTTATCATAAGTATCCCAAGAGCTTGGTGTGGTGGTGTGGTGGCGCTGGGGGCAGATGGATCATCTGCACATTTAGAATTGAAATGGATGCATACTGATGGGGAAAATATAGTACAGATTGATAGGAACTAGCCCCAGTTTCACAGCATTCCTTAACATAAGGAAAGGACTATGTATGGTAATATATAAGGAATTTTGGTAACTTCAGTAGGTAGCTTTGAAAAAAATAAATCTTGAGGAATATTTCTTGACTAAAAAGTTTCCTTTAACTCAAAAGTTTCGATAGCAAAGCATTATTTGAATGAAAGGGATTTTTTTCATAACTTCAGCAACATTTCCAATATCAGGTTAAGATATGTTTTTGAAACAGGGGCCTGGTCCATTGAAATATATAAAAATCTGGAATTTTACCCTCGGTGTAGTTTAGCCTTCTGAATCACTGTTTGTCACGACTAATGCTGACTAATGGCTGTCTGTAGTGATGGAATTGATACTACTGCAGATAATTACAACGGGCAAATGCTTATAGTGCAGTTATCATTGTAATACATCGTCCGCATAGAGCGTTTCTGATTGGATTAGAAAAATTCCATGACCTAGATCATGTTGCCCTTTCATGTGATCATGTTGCATCAGATTGCATTTCCTTCACCTGATCAAATTTGAGTTAGACGGAAAAAATCAAAAAAATCTTGTGTTTCCGCTATCATCCTAGGGTTGGTAGGTAGGTATATTTTTTTTTTAAATTTTGGAACATGTTTTACTATGCTTATATATATAGAGCAGAAGTTCAGACTTCAACAGTGTAGATCACTTAACGCCAAAAAAGAGGAAACACAAGATTTTATTTTTATGTGGCCTGATATATATATATGCAAACAGTTGATATTCTTTTATATGTTTTTTTTTTTCAATTTTGGTATAAAATCTCGAGGAAACAAACATCCATGTTTCCTTATACAAGGTTAATGAATGTATAGCAGTGTCACTCTCACATTGGAATCAGTACTACATGAAGTTGCACACCAATGTATGGCTACGATTGAATTTAGCTGCCTGTAGACTAGAAATGGAGAAATATCGGCCTTGTTTCAGATGTGCAATCTATTGTACGCACCAGTGTCAAAGACATGTGTTCGAAAAATCATCCGCTGCAGAAAAAAACGAGAGATTTTGATGATTGCTGGTATAGGGATCACAAAAAAAAGCACAAAGGTAACCGACGGGAAATTCCCAGCTCATCTGTTGCTGCTGTTAATTAAAACATTCATTAATTAATGCTTTTGTATTGGCTTGCTTGCATTTCTCATCAGTTCAAATCATTACAAATATTACTCATTGCGATAATTTTGCATGGCTTAATTTTCACTCATCAGTCATTTAAAATATTTCCCCAGCTTTAAATTTCAGAAGATTTATTTCCTTTATAGGTCACCTGAGCTTTGCTTGTATAAGCATATGTCGTGCGTAAACTTTTTACATTTTCGACTTCTTCTCAAGAACCAGTGGATGAAATTTTTTCAAACTTGGTCAAAATCATCCTTGGCAGATGAGGCTACAACATCGTAAAATCTGGATTCCTACCCCAACCCCAGGGGCCAGGGCGTGCTCCAATGGGAAAATTAACCAATATTTCAAAAATCTTTTCTCCAGACTCGGAGGTACTACAGTCAATTTCTCTGCATTGATGGAAAGATCATCATTATTTAAATTGTAAATATTTCAGTAACCCTGGGCCATCCGCTTTCCCTTGGGGAGGGGGTAAAGTTTACTATAGTATATATATAGGGAAATTAAACTTTTGGTATATTTTGTCTACTATCAGGAAGAAATTATTCAAACTTGGTTGGAATGATTGTGATGAGATGGCAACTAGATGGTATGCAAAAACAAGATCCATCATTGCCCCAGGGGATGGAGGGATGGGGCCAAAAAGGGGGAAATGGCTGATATTTTAAAAAATCCCTGCACTCAGATGCACAAGTTTAAGTTTCTTTTATGGATGGAAATGCCCTTAGGTGCATTATACAAATTGTTAGTTTTATTACCCTTTGGTCATCTGTTCTCCTTGGTTTATAAAGCAATGTCTCAATAGCAAAATCATTTATTTGAATAGATTTTAAAGTTCTTATCCTTCGAGTGAGATGACAAGTATTGTATTTCACTTTGTTTACATGTTGATTTCCACATCACATCTCAACAATGAAATTGAACTACAGTACCTATAATATAACTCAGGTGACCGCTAAGGCCCTTGGGCCTCTTGTTTTCTATGAGTCCATACAAAGAAAACTGTTGTATTTCCAATTTTTGCGCTCAAATATTTGGGAAGATCTATAACTTTGGATTGGTTTGTTTGTGTTTTACATCCTATTAACAGCCATGGTTATTTAAGGACGTGCCATGTTGTGGTGGTGGAGGAAAGCCGGAATTTCTATTTTGGAAATTTCATTGATTGTTACAAGTATGCATATGTTGGAGTCTTGTAATGTTTTCTGATTTGTAAAATGTGACTTTTTAAGTTTTCATTTCTATTAATAATTCATCCTGCTTTTATAAGTCAGAATGGTCAAACAAGGAAGTATGTAGGAACAGAAAACAAATTTAAAAGTTTTCTCGTTCCAAATTATCCAGAAGATACTGAGTACAAGACAATGGTATCAGATCATATTTTTGAGGCAATGATGTCTGACAAAAAGGTATTTTCTGTATTACTGTTCAGTTTGGAAGTTCAAGATGATCTGCGCTGACCCAACAGGTTAGTTTCGGCTATTGTTGACATGTTCATAGTTGTTGATTTTAAACAATGATTGAAAAAGATAGTTGTCCCTGCCCCGCTGCACTGTGGTTTTTCGTATGTAGAGTTACCTCCCCTTAACTTCCGTTTGGATATCACAGTAGCACAATTGGGCCAGGAGATTTCAGTTGACTGGGTTGTTCAATCAATTATGATAAGAGCGATAGTATAACAGTCTGAAGTCTAGGGTTCAAATCCCAGTCTAGCCCTGCTAAATTTTTTACGCTCAGAACACTTGTTGATTATATTTTGATCGTTTCATTTCATTATTTCTCATGAAAGTCCCTCAAGGTATGGTTTTCTTTTTAGAATGATTTATCAAAGCTATACTATAACCATGCCGGAAAAAAGAGTTTCCAATATGAAGTTAAAGTTTTTGGTAGTGGTACGGGGACCCTTAAGTCAATGGATCATTATATGTTTTAAAATCTTACTTTTTTGCGTAGTCGTACTTTGTGGCCAACATGTATCTTAAATGTCTAAAATAAAAAAGGAAGTCACGGTACTTTTTTCCTAACTTTGACCATTTGGCAAAAGATACTTCTGATTCAGAATTTTTGTTTGGATTTTTTGTTTTTGATTTGCAATATTGTTTGTATTAAATCATCTGAGGAACTTACTGTAGATGTGATATTTGATGAAATTTGTATCTGGATTAGATAAAAGAATGTTTATACAATTAATAAATAAAGTGTGGAGTCCATGTGTATTATCGCAAAAATCTATTTTGTAACTTCACTCTTAAAACTGTTCAAAAGTCTTTATTTAAAATCTGCACAATTATAAATTATCATCATTTAAACAAGTTGATAGGGGAATGTGTCATCAATACAAGGTTTTAGTAAATAATCTACACATTTTATCTACATTTACTTCATGTCAATATTTTAGGATATATTTGATGCTATGTCAAAACGAGACTTCGTGTAATAATCCATCTTCATTAATCCAGCTTTCACCGCTGTAGACCAAAATGGACTCATCCAGATCAATGCATGGGAGAGACTACTAAAGTTGCATAGGGGTGAAACGGTTATACTTTCTTTGTTATGCTGTTTTTCAACTCTAAGTCTTATTAAAGAAAAAGAAAAAAACAGAAAACCCCAACTTTTCTACCCAGTCCTAAATAATTTTTTGACCCAGTCCTAAATGATGTGTCGTTAATGTTCTGACACCACCAGTATAGTCTCCCTCATGCGTTATCTTATCAGCTGTTTGAATGTTTAAGGTAATAAATAAAACAACAGTAAATGGCCCCAGAACGTTGAAAAATATGAATTCACTTCAAATATTTCATCCTCATCTGATGTGTCAGTTCCAATTAAAAAAGATGACTGAAAACATAACCTGCTTTGCATTGCTGTTGAGTCTCCTTAATCCAGCCATTTTGAAAGTTGTTTTCAGCTGAAGCAGAATGATTATGAAACAGCTGGAATACTAGAACACATAATTTTACAAAACAATTTTTTTTTATTTTTTTTGAGGAGAAGAAAAGATTAAAAAAAAATACTTACATTTTCACTGCACTGCAGGAGAGATTGTGTTCATAGAGCTATGAACATGATTCAATCACCGTCATTTTGAAGCTTCTCCTCCCACCTCAATTAACATGAGACAACCATAAGAATCAAACATTTTGGTGACATTAAGCTGTTCCAGGAATCTTGTCTACGCTGTCGACACAGACACCTCACTATCGAAATTATATGGGAATATCTATATTTAGGTCAATATATAAGGTTTGAATGGTATTTTTTAATGTTCATGGCTGCATCAAGGGAACTCAGCTTTAATTATTACTTTGTTTTGGTCAAGTTTTATTTTTGCATTTCAACTTTCTTGTACTTTTTAACATTATTTGAAATTACATCTTTTTCATAACTTGTTTGATTTCAATCCATTTTGAACGTTAAGATTCATGTTTCCTATTTTCCTTTACACTCATTCATCTTCATCACACACAATTATTTCAGCAGCACCATTTCAGCAGCACCACCATAATTCATCAAAAGACAATGTGACTTACGGTTACCTATATATATATGTGGGTTAATTGGGACGAGACAGTTTCACACTCGACAGATGTTATTGCAGCTTTAGTTTGCTATTCTATTATCCTTTCTTCATAAGTGAAATAATGTACTAATGTTTATTAACTTTGTAGTACACTAACTTCTAATAACCTAAACTAAATATTGCATCATTTAAAAGTTCCAAACTGTCTATGTAATAAGATTGAGGGAACATTTCTCGGCAGCGACCCAGTGGGAAATGTAAGTTAACTCATTCACCCCTGAAATTCTATAATGAACTATTCCAACATTTGAATTGGAAGAGTTCAAATTTGTCTTCAGGTCAGGTCAGGGGTGAATTAGTTAAGGAGCCTTTGTAAAAAACTTGGGCATGTCTCTGAAATAAACTATATATACCTCGTACCTTATATAATTACTAACCCAAGAAAAATCATGTAACATTCCTTCACTTGAGAAAATTCCTCAATTGAAGGTTTTCATTGAAATTCCATGTATATTGCTGGAACTCACGAAGAAGCTGAGTTTAAAGAAATTTTTCTTCCAATGTTTGATGTCGGATGAAGCATCAAGTCGAAATTATTGGTTAGAATTTTCATGTCAAAGGTTGTGTGGTTTGTAAACTTGTACCATTAAAGATATTTGTTTTTTGAAAGAACTGAACATTGAAATGTTCGACCGGTGTGAAAACGTAATAATTAGACTTTTAATCTCCGTGAATCAATACTGTTTACTGGGACATTTTCTCTGGAGTTTAATTTATACCCTCCCCTATGAGCCTGACTTTATTATCACAGCGAACATTAGGTAACAACATCGTAGACATAGTAATGAAATGTGGAGGGCAAATTTAAAACTGGGGAAATATGGATTTTAAGAGCGCAAGGTCGAAAGTTTGATTGGACGAACATTTGCCGGTATACAGTATCAACAAACAATTCGGGTATGAACAATGCCGCAGAAATCGACAAGAATACACACATTTTTTATTAGAATTTTTCTTTGTTTCAAATGTTCCTATTTGTTAGAGACAAGGACAAAGAAATTTAATTTACTAAGAGGATTTCTGCCATGTAACATTGTTGTACCATGGAATATCTACCATGTTACATTGTCGTACCATGGTAGATATTCCATGGTACAACAATTCAACATGGTAGATATTCCATGGTACAAAAATGTAACATGGTAGATATTCCACGGTACGACAATGTAACATGTTAGATATTCCATTGTACATGTACAACAATGTCACGTAGTAGATATTGTTGTACATGTACCATGGAATATCTACCATGGGACGACAATGTAACATGTTAGATATTCCATTGTACATGTACAACAATGTCACGTAGTAGATATTGTTGTACATGTACCATGGAATATCTAGCATGTTACATTGTCGTACCATTGAATATCTACCATGTTACATTGTTGTTCCATGGAATATCTACTACGTGACATTGTTGTACATGTACCATGGAATATCTAACATGTTACATTGTCGTACCATGGAATATCTACCATGTTACATTGTTGTACGATGGAATATCTAACATGTTACATTGTCGTACCATGGAATATCTACCATGTTTCATTGTTGTACCTTCTAATATCTACCATGTTCCATTGTTGTACCATGGATTATCTACCATATTACATTATTGTACCGTGGAATACCTACCATGTTACATTTTTGTACCAAGGAATATCTACCATGGTACGACAATGTAACACGTCAGATATTCCATCGTACAAAAATGTAACATGTTAGATTGTTGTCCCATGGAATATCTGAAAAATTTCTGACAATTCAATCTAAATTTTGAGAGGGTTTTTTTTTTTTTTTATTTAGGGGAATAAAAAAAAAAAAAAATCCTCCCGAATTTTAGATTAAATTGCAAAAAATTGTTCAGATATTCCATGGGACAACAATCTAACATGTTACATTGTTCTCCCATGGAATATCTACAATGTTACATTGTTGTCCCATGGAATATCTACCTTGTTACATTTTTATACCATGGAATATCTCCCATGTTAAATTGTTGTACGATGGAATATCTACCAGGTTACATTGTTGTACAATGGAATATCTGCCACGTTAAATTGTTGTACCCTGGAATATCTACCATGGGACGACAATGTAACATGGTCGATATTCCACGGTACGACAATATAACATGGTATATATTCCATGGGACAACAATGTAACATAGTAGATTTTCCAGGGTACAACAATGTAACATGGAATATCTACCAGGTTACATTGCTGTACCATGGAATACCTACCCTGTTACATTGTTGTACATGTACAATGGAATATCTGCCACGTTAAATTGTTGTACGATGGAATATCTAACATGTGACATTGTCGTACCATTGAATATCTAACATGTTAGATATTCCATCATACAACAATGTAACACGGTAGATATTCCATGTTACATTGTTGTGCCGTGAAATATCTACCATATTACAATGTTGTACCGTGGAATACCTACCATATTACATTATTGTACCGTGGAATACCTACCATATTACATTGATGTACCGTGGAATATTTACCATGTTACATTGCTGTACTATGGAATATCTCCCATGTTAAATTGTTGTACCCTGGAAAATCTACTATGTTACATTGTTGTACCCTGGTAGATATTCCATCGTACAACAATGTAACATGCAACAATGTAACATGTTACATTGTTGGACCGTGGAATATCTACCCTGTTACATTGTTGTATGTTACATTGTTGTGCCATGGAATATCTACCGTGTTACATTGTTGTACCATCGAATATCTACCATATTTCATTGTTGTACCTTCTAATATCTACCATGTTGCATTGTTGTACTATGGAACATCTACCATATTACATTGTTTTACCATGGAATATCTTCCATATTACATTGTTCTACCGTGGAATTTCTACCATGTTACATAGTTGTACCATAGAATATCTACCATGTCACATTGTTGTACCATTGAATATCTAACATGTGACATTGTCGTACCATGGAAAATCTACCATGTTACAATGTTGTACCATGGAAAATCTACCATGTTACAATGTTGTACCATGGAAAATCTACCATGTTACATGGTTGTACTATGGAATATCTCCCATGTTACATTGCTGTAGCATGGAATATCTACCAGGTTACATTGCTGTACCGTGGAATATTTACCATGTTACATTGTTGGACCGTGGAATATCTACAATGTTACATTGTTTTATCATGGAATATCTACCGTGTTACATTGTTGTACTGTGGAATATCTACCATGGTACAACAATATAACATGATAGATATTCCATGGGAGAACAATGTAACATGGAATATCTACCGTGTTACATTGTTGTACTGTGGAATATCTACCATCTTACATTGTTGTACCCTGGTAGATATTCCATAGTACAACCATGTAACATGGTAGATGTTCCATGGTACAACAGTGTAACATGGTAGATACTCCATGGTACAACAAGGTAACATGGTAGATACTCCATGGGACAACAATCTAACATGTTACATTGTTGCATGTTACATTGTTGTCCCATGGAGTATCTACCATGTTACCTTGTTGTACCATGGAACATCTACCATATTACATTGTCGTACCATGGAATAACTACCATGTTACATTTTTGTCCCATGGAATATCTACGTTACATTGTTGTACCTTGGAATATCTACCATGGTACGACAATGTAACATGTTACATTGTTCTCCCATGGAATATCTATCATGTTATATTGTTGTACCGTGGTATATCTACTATGTTATATTGTTGTACCGTGGAATATCTACCATGTTACATTGTTGTACTGTGGAATATCTACTATGTTACATTGTTGTACCATGGAATATCTGAACAATTTCTGACAATTCAATCTAAATTTCGAGAGGATTTTTTTTTTTTTTTTTTTAATTAATCTCCTGAATTAACAACAAAACTTCTCTGTCGTCAAACACCACTTTGTTATAAGTTTCTTTTACACTTGGATATGTTTTTTGTTTTGTTGTATTTCTGATTCATATACAGAACTACCAATGCAAGTTCATTGGTTCCTAACAGAATCCTTTTGTTATTGCCAGTGATAAGTACAAAACCTGTGGAACTATCTATACACTGTATAACACCAAATGTTTGTGCTTAAAGATGGTTTCGTGGTAAAATATTCGTGGATATCCTTTGTTAACACACAATAGACACGTATATCATTCAAATTTGTTGTAGTTATATTCGTGGTTCAATAGCAACCACCAAAAAACACGAATGTTTATACACAACGAACATTTCCTGTTACACAGTATTGATATGTATTATATATTTTATTAATAGAACAAAATATTTGATCACATGATCATGGTTTTAATTGGTTTATTTTTAATTTGAATAAAGATTCTTGTTGTCTTGTCAACAGATATAGTTTAGACGGGACACAGAATATATATGCTATTTCACATATAAGCTCTCTGCAAGGTATGATTTTCATTTTCAGAAATTATTTTCAAAGTTATAATCATATTAGTAAACATGTTTCCATTGTATAGTAACAGTTTGGGCAGTGATACAGAGATCCCTAATCAATTGAATCATTTAGGTATAATTATTCTATTTCTATACTACAGCCTAATCCTGTGAGGAGCTTTCAGCCAAGGTTTCCAAACACGAAAATGCTGATCCTTGCAAAGACTTTTATACATTTGTAAATAAGTTATTAAAGAATTGTTTAATTTACAGGAAGAGGTAAATCCAGTCAAAAAACGGCAGAAAAGAGAAAAGAAAAGGACCGTTCTGTGTCCCCAGGCACAGGTAAGTCCCAAACGTCCACAGCACAACGTACATATTTACTTCCGAACATTATTAGTCCGTGCAACCATCATTGTTTCCAGCATTAAGTGTACTGATGGTGAAATAGCTCGATAGCGGAGACATTTTTTGTTGCAGGCGACATATAGGTATTACTTTGTCGGTGTCGTCGGTTGCTTGGTCCAAAACAAGGTGTCCGTGCGATAACTTGAGTTTCCTTGGGTTGATTAAACTCAAACTTGATACACATATTGCATACCATTATAGCTCAGACAAGTTTGCATTTCAGAAGTTAACGTGCCTTTTTGGTGGAGTTATGCTCCTTTTATTGCCAAAAAAGGGCATTGTGTAGTACAATGTAATTGCAAGAACTTTTTAATTTTTTAATTCATTCCTTTCAAGTTTTGTATATATCTCCTTCACCAGTTGTCCAATGAATTTGAAATTTCATATTTGTGTACTTCATTTATCTAATACTACAAATAGAACTACTAATTCTGAATCCCTGATGAGGCTGGAAATTACCTTTTAAGGCCCCTAGTCCTTAACAGTGATAGTGACTATTGGCACACAGCTTATAAGTAATAGTATTATCACATCTGATGGGAGAAAAAAACACTGGGCAGATACTGGCAAAAGGTGAATATTTCACAGTGTAAACAGGGGTGTACTGTCTTCAGGGTGAGTAGATTTCATGTCAAGCTAGTGAAAACATTGTATACCTTATATGAAAATAAAGCTGATGCTAGTAGAATTTTGCAAAATCTACCAGGGAGCTAGCTATAACTTAAAACATGAAGTTATATATGAACACTCCTGGTAAAAGTTTATCAGGATATAATATAATGAATGTTCTGATAGAAGAGGAACTGTTGTTTTGCAGTGCGTTCTCCTACAAAGCCCTCCAAGAAAGCTCGAGTCTCCACTGAGCCCTCGGCTACATCACCATCAACCTCCTTAGCAAACTCTTCGACAGACTCAGCATTCTCCTCGTCCTCCACTTCAAGTGTCCCAGGTGTGTCGTCTTCCATGTCCAGCCTCCCCGTGATAACCTCTGTCGTGTCACTGGCTGAGGGTAACAGGAGCATGACAAGAAAGACTTTCAATTCCAACAATTCATTGTCTGGACTATTCGACATTGATTTTAACTCGGCGGGTACAAGTCAGGAATCAACGAAAAATTCAAAGGATCGGAAACAAACGATGGACAAAAAGAAAGTTATGGCGGTGGTTCCCTCTGTGAATAAGTCTTTAAATAATGTTGTTAAACATCCTGGCCGACGTCCAGGAGCCCAGTCAAGACTTTCAAGTAGTAGCTCGTCCTCACTGGAATCTATAACTGCAGCTCCGGTTTCAGCGGTGGTAACGTCTGCACCAAATACGAGGACGGATACTTCCGGGTCTCAGACTGTTGCTTCCACTTCTAACTCCAGGTTAACAGGTACTACGACAAGTGGAAGTACATTTACAAACACATCTCCAGGTACATATTCCAGGACAATAACTTTACATCCTGAAAGGTCCCGTTCCCCTACACCAAGTCCCTCACAAGGATCATCCAGTAGAGAAACCGGGGCAGCAGCAACACCAGCAACACCAGCAGCATCAGTAGCAGACAGGTAAATATTTCTGTCCGCTTGTTCTTTATGCCCCTGCCATTTTATATGAGGGCACAAAGTGTTACCCATGTGTGTCCTATTCGGTCGCGTCACGATTCTTTGTGTTGACTCATAACTACATAATTTATAACAGATTTTTGTATCAATTTTTTTCCTTCTTTTCTTTCAAAGGTCAAGTATGAGAATACCTCAAATGATTTTGTGTTTTTTTGCCCAGTGGTGCAAAGCAGATACATATATGACAATTAAGCAATTAATATAGGCTCAACATTTTTGGTAACCTTATATGATAAACTTGAACACAAATCACAGGTATTATGTGTAAGGTAGCATATAACCTTAACCCTAACACACAAATCAAAGATGAAATTTATATGGTAGCATACCACCTTAAGTGTAACTCAAATCACATGTAAAATGTGTGAGGTAGCATATGACCTTAACTTTAACACAATTCACAGAATATAGTATGTTAAGTAGCATACAACCTTAACTCAACTCAAATCACTGGTATAATGTGTAAGGTAGCATACAACCTTAACTCTAACTCAAATCACTGGTATAGTGTGTAAGGTAGCATACAACCTTAACTCTAATACAAATCACACGTATAATGTGTACGGTAGCATACAACCTTAACTCTAATAGAAATCACTGGTATAATGTGTAAGGTAGCATACAGCCTTAACTCTAATACAAATCACTGGTATAATGTGTAAGGTAGCATATATATATACAACCTTAACTCTAATACAAATCATTGGTATAATGTGTAAGGTAGCATACAACCTTAACTCCAATACAAATCACTCTTATAATGTGTAAGGTTGCCTAAACCCAAAAAATAATTATTTGGTGTGTAACTTGCTTGTATAAACTTTGTGCCATTCCACACTTGTCTGTGTCTTTTTCATACAATATTTCCTTGGGGATTTAATTTTGTTTATTTCGTAGTTTTATAAAACAAATGTTGTATTTACATTTAGACACAAGTCATGAGTAATGGTGTAATTATGTCACAGGCACAGAGGTAAACACTTATGATATCAGCGTGTCAATAAAGCGTTATACTAACACAGTTACGTCGCTCCATGTATATAACTATAGAACATGATGGATTTGACTGATACCCATCGAGTGAGTAAATCTCGCCCAGCTGTCTTACCTGTACTATATTTACCTACACTGTGTCGTCACGCCTGTCAATTTAATCTTCTTACTCACCAGAAAAAACCCCAGGGTTTTTAAAATATTGATTCCACGAAATGTACTCCCAACGAATTTGTCCTCAAACAAAAACAGCGAAATTTAACCCCAACGAAAATATATGCTTTTACGGTATTCTTGTCGTTATTTTACAGGGAGCCATCAGAAGATAGTGAAGAAGTACCAATGGGACAGGACGGTCTTCCTATTCTTAGTCTGGTCACCTTCTACCCTCAAACCATGACCCAAGGTGAGTACTAGTGGTCTGTGATGTCGAGGTCAAGATGTCCAAAGTCACCTTGACCTTTTCTTAAGGTATATATATGGTATCATAAGTAAGACATTTTAAATTCATTGAAATGGAAATTATTCATTAAAAGTCACAAGAAATAAATATTCAACTATGTATATATTATTGATATTCAACCATTGAATTTTCAACTTAGTACAAAATTCAGACATACAACCTATATTCCTCTATAAATATCTTAATTCAGCCATGTTAGTTTGGAAGCAAAGAAATGTTCTAACAGATCCTTACAGGGCTATTGTATGTCTGGAGTGGGTGAGGCACAGGTAAATACTTATAACTAATATATATGGTGGATAAAATTTTTTGTTAACATTTTGTATAGTTGGTGTTGAAAGTCACAAAAAATACTAAATATTTATTTCTGAATGAGCCATTACATTTATCTAATAAACATGCACATTTTAGGAGCTGGGGTCTTAGCTTGAAATGTTTTCTTAGAGAGAATTTTATATAATAATTATATATATGTTATATGGCGTGCTTGCAAGTGTTTACAAAATTGGAAGGTTTTTCTTACGTACCTAAAAGTGTAAATGTAGTTTGGGTTTTATTGGGCTGTAGGTATACATACTCTATATGTTAATTTGCAGGTCGGACGGTGATGGTGCGCGCCCTCCAAGGCAAGATCTGGCTTGGCTATGTGTCAAATATTAATGCACTCAAGGCCAGCTGTTATTTCTCTGTCCAGTGGTTAACTGGTAGGTATACAGCCTAGTGTTTGATAGAGGTCATCAGTAAAGGTCAAAGGTCATATATATATAAATATTATATAGGATCTTACATGGGTTTCTCTTTCATATGAGATTTATGAAACAAGTGTAAGAATTTAAAAAATTGTGGCGAGTTTCATAAATTTCATATGAAATGAAAATGAATGTAAGATCCTTTTTATTACGTAATCAATCTGTGGCATTTATTCGTGTAAAACGACAATTTTCATGCAACCTTGAAATGTAAAAAGCTGACATTTTGACTCCAGTGCGTAAGTCTGTGACGTCATGTACTTGTCCTTGGTGTGACGTCACAATTGAAACAATTGAAACTTACAACCAATCACAGGGCTGATAGCTGGGTCATATTATTACATGGGTTAATATGATACGCAGAAAAATATGACATGGGTTTATTCACTGGATAACACAGTACATTATGTGATAATACATTATACAGAATGTACAATGTATAATATCCTGCAATAAGCCAACACATAATCTGTCACTCAAAGTAGGCGATTGACTTACTACATGTACATGTATGTAGAATGATGAAATAGCATTAATTTTCTTTCTACTTTTCTTTGGGATGAAAAATTTAGATTAGTAAGGTTCATCACTATTGAAAAGGAAGACAGTCATTATTAGGTAGTCAAGCTATATACTGTATTTGAGGGCAAAAACATCTCGTTGACAAATATAACATTGAGACAAAAACAATTCTCTTCACTAATTATAAATAAATTCACACATGGCCCCCTTGGAAAACCTCTGGGAAAAACCCATGCTCTGTTTGGATATACTCACCCATGCTTTATGTGTCCTGAGGTCAGTATCAAGCCCTGGAAAAAGAAGATTTCAGCCAATGCCATTCCAGGGTATTTGTTAGTTATATTTTTATAATCATCGTTGTTTGATTTCAGGTCAGTTTGGTGTTGATACTAAATTTGAAATTCAAGAAAAGTGGCAGAGAAAATCAGATAAGGTAAGCATATTCTGTAAATGTTGTCATACCTGCTCGGGAGACCACCTGTGTTAAGAGACCATATCTTTTAAAGACGACTCTGTGAAAAGACCACCTCTATTAAAGGATGACCTCTTTAAAAAAAAATGTGTTTAGAGACCACCTCTATAAAAAGACCACCTGTGTTAACACACCATTTTCAAAAAAACAAATTACAGTAATTTCCCTTTTAACTAAACCTGTATAAAGAGACCACCTGTGTTAAGAGATCACTGTATTAAATGTGGTCTCTGAATTCAGGTTTGTTTGTATTTATATTAGCACAATCAATCTCCTGAAGTAGTGTTGTGTAAGTCAGACTTATGTGGAAGTCTACATATGGGCCACGATAGTTGATCTGGAGTAAATGTGACAAATTATCAATGTATGATCTGCTAGCCCCAAAGGCATACTAATCATAATCTCTAGAGGAAGTTAAATAAGAATCTGTCCATATTTATGTTAATCCTCAACATCGTCATCAATCTACTGACTTAATTTCCTTTCCAGTGATCACGAAATTTAGGGTCTGTGTTCACAAGCATCATCTCTTGTACATATTCACGTTTCAAGATTCTGGGGACATAAACAAGGTCGTTGTCACTATAAATAGAATTTTGGTGTCATCTCTTGCCAGACTTCATTTCTCATCCTACTTTCATTAAAACTCACATATATGTTCACAAACACACTTCTAATAATCTTTCTAAGCTTACTGTTACTATAAATAGAATTTGGATGTCGTCAATTGTAAGTTGCTCTGTAAGCGAGGGTATCTTTGTGGGTTTTATTAAAAGAGTTTAATAAGCATTCAAGTAATATAACAAAGAAAATATTTCGACATTTAAGGGATTTTTTTTTAAATGCATTTCTATTTCAGGTACATACGGACTGTATCATATGCCATTTTGATTACACAATGAAACAAGTCATGTCTGATGAATTGCTGCAGCAGCTCAAAATTGCTTCAAAACAGCCTCCTTGCTCTGTGAAACCTCGAAGTACACCACCAAAACCTTCAACAGCCAGTCCAGGTAGAATCCCAACTAGAACTGATAATAGAACACATTCTGCTTCACCACAATTGAGCAGAGATAATTCTACAGGATCTGCTGCCATGACAACTAGGAGAGGCACCCCTAGCAACAAGTCTAACCCCAAGCCTAACACCAAATCCTAGTACTTGGTGTCAATATCTACTGTGTAAATGACATTATCTACTGAGTGTATCACAACATCTACTGTGTATATCACAATATCTACTGTGCATATGCACAGTAGATATTGTGATATGCACAGTAGATGTTGTGATATGCACAGTAGATATTGTGCTATACACAGTAGATATTGTGATATGCACAGTATATATTGTGATATACACAGTAGATATCGTGATATGCACAGTAGATATTGTGATTTACACAGTAGATGTTGTGCATATCACAATATCTACTGTGCATATCACGATATCTACTGTGTATATCACAATATCAACTGTGCATATCACAATATCTACTGTGAATATCACAATATCTACTGTGTATATCACAATACCTACTGTGTATATCACAATATCTACTGGGTATATCACAATATCTACTGTGTATATCACAATATCTACTGTTTAAATGTCAATATCTAACTACTGTGTAAATGACAATATATTCTATGTGAATGTCTATATATATACAGTGTACATGTCAATACCTGGTATCTACTGTGTAACCCCTCCACATTTTATTTCCAAGTTTTTGAGTAAGTAAATGACATATTGAACTAATTTTCACAATTTCTATGCCATTTCACTGTACTTGCTGAATCCTTCTGTGGAAAAATTAAAAACTTTCATTGTTTAGTAAGAATTGTTAATATTTCTCCATGTACAACTAAAATAACTTGACCAAGCTTCAGCTTCATAAAACATCTTAACCATGAGTTTGCCTTCAGTTCCTATTTTCTCAAAGGGAAACCATTCCTCAATCCTTACAATCCTGTAGACAATAATGGACTCATCCAGATCAATCCATGGTAGAGTCTACTAAAGTTACATAGGGGTGAAAGGGTTAAGTTAAGAAAAAATTAATAACATATGGAAGAACGGGGGCAAATGCCTTTTACGCCATAGATTGTACAGTAGATGGCTCTTTTACTCATTTTGAAAGAGAACAAATAATTCAGTGCATTTGCTGTAATGAGTTGTTAAGCTAAAAAGATGATGGAAGCTTTGTGGAAATTGGTTCAATAACTAATTCATGTTTTAAGTAGTATAGATTTTAGTGTGATAGAAAGTGTGCAGTTTACAGTAGACCATTACGTATACTTCGTCTGTGTTTGGTGTGATATTATGATATAAACTGGCATTATGATAATGTTTCCATGGATGATGCAATAACAGGTACAGCTGAGCTTATTTGAATCCAGCCACCGTATACTACAATCCCTCCAAGGATCCAGCCGTCAATATACTGGTCATCCGACTATCCAGCTGTTATTTTAGGGGATAGATTGTTCTATTTCTCCACAAAATTGTCCTAATAATCCAGCAGCTTTTGTAAGGAATGAGGGTAGTTCAAGTCCAAGACTCAAACTGTACTGCAATGGCTTACGGGCTGTGTGCCCAGCATTTACTTATGATATTGAACAAAGTTTTGTTTTATTGGAGGAAAACATCATGAAAATGGTTAGCTTTCTCAGCTCGCAAATATTTACAACCCGTTTGTTCTTCTTGTTTCAAAGCATTTGTTACATTTATTTTGTCTTCATTATAATTGTTGAACATGTAAAGTAAATTCAGGTTTCAACGGTGACCAAAACTAGTCTACACAGCACTTGGGTTAGTCTGTTCCTGTGGTAACAGTATCATTCTGTTTCTGTGGTAACAGCATCATTCTGTTTCTATGGTAACAGTGTCATTCTGTTTCTGTGGTAACAGTGTCATTCTGTTTCTATGGTAACAGTTTCATTCTGTTTCTATGGTAACAGCATCATTCTGTTTCTGCGGTACCAGCATCATTCTGTTTCTGTGGTAAAAGTGTCATTCTGTTTTTATGGTAACAGCATCATTCTGTTTCTATGGTAACAGTGTCTGTTTCTAAGGAGCACATTCTAATTATTCTGTTTCTATGGTTACACATTCACTATTCAGGTAAAACCATCAGCCTGTCAGCTGTTTGTATACTGCCAGTCTCATTGTTTTCAGCTTTTCTTTGTTAAAATCCTCCTACTGTTATCTATAACGAAGGTGACAATCTCAATCTGCTTTCATTAGGCATGCTGAAGGTCAAGTTTCTTGAAGAATTATTTTGAACTGAACACAATTGCAAGAGTTTTTAGAGGTTATGAAATCTCTCCCGTCACAAAGAGTTCTGTCTCATCAATTCTAAACAATACCTGAAGCCGTTGACTACTACCTAGTCTATAGATCCTGACCATTTGGCGAAATGCACTTTTAAAGCTAATCTTACGACTAGCGATGAATCATTTTGAGAGAAAGTCTTTGGGCTCCACTTGTTTCAGAAATGATGTTTTTCAAAATTAATTATTACAAAACAGTAAATATCTAGTCCTTAATATTTATGCATGTACTGTATTTCTCCAAATTTACAAGATGCAACAGGTTCTTGGTCAAGCGCATTTGGCAAGGTTTTGAACCTTTGTACACAGGTAAACACAGGACCCTTTTTAAACACATGGGCATTGTATTAGACGGTTAAACAAGATGTTTACCTAATTGTATAGCTATTATTTATCCCAGGGCAACCATTAAAAAAGTATTTTCTTGTCTGTTCTTGGTTTTGAAACCTCTTATCCTTTAACTCATTCACCCCTAAAGACACATTTGAACTCCTCCCATTCAAAGGTTGGAATAGTTCATTACAAAGTTTAAGGGGTGAATGAGTAAACTGTTGCTTTAACCAGCTGAACAGCCTAGCCAAAGGCAGTTCCCTGGCCCAGTTCAACTATAGTTATATATTTAAAATGAAAACAAGGGGAGGTTACTGTATGTAAGACATTCTCTAGTGTTTTGCCTGCAGTAGGACATGCATTCCTAATATGATTCTTCTGTAAGGACCACCAAAGGGAGAAGTTAACAACACTTTAAATAGAAGATGTGGTTTTGATATAAATATTGCTTTATTCCTTATAAAGCAATATTTATATATAACTAGCACCTCCAGAATTTTAATTCTGTCATTATAGATACATGCAGGTAATCGTTACAGACAGTTGGAGTAGCTGGGTGGTCACTAATGACAGGCTGTTTCCATTGAAAGGTTATGTACACGTGAATACATTTTCTGTTATTGATGAGAAATATGGTATTGATGAGAAATAAAAACACAGAAAATGTTTTCAAGAAATAGGAGCACTTTCAAATAGCTATCCATTATTGCATAGCAATAAACAAATAAGTATTGCAAAATTACGTTTACTGTACTATTTATATAAAAGAATAGATTTCTATTCGAAGTAGGTAAGTGTAGAACAAATAAGATAATTGAATCAAAAGTAGTAATCTGAAGTAGGTAAGTGTAGAAAAAATAAGATAATTGAATCAAAAGAAGTAATCTAAAGTAGGTAAGGGGAGAAAAAATAAAATATACTGAATCAAAAGTAATAAATCTGAAGGAAAGAAATAGTGTGTCGCTATGCCTTATATTTTGTATATATTTATTGATGTAGCAATTAGATGAAGTTATATTTAACACTTTACAATGAAATACAGATTGTATGATTAACTCATTGACTTGGTAAAAGGCTGCCATCAGCACTTACATGAAATCACAGTTCTTTCAGTTGCATGTTACATTAGTCTCCTTAGTCATCTACAATACAAATGATCTAGTAAGTTTCTAGTTCAATAACCCTTTCACTAGTCAAAAGTATATTGTCATTCATTTTATAAAATTTTCTCACTGACTTACTAATGAAACATATTTCCTTTATCCAAGAACACTGTAAAGTATTACTTACCTCCCTTTGTCCATCCATTTTAACATTTATTTTCTGTCTGCATTTGTTGTCAATGAACATGTAATTTTTTCTTTGAATCTTTATAAAAGCATTTATTTGTGAATTTGTGTATAATTTTGTTTTAACAGATATATATGTATATATATTCTATTGTATATAATTTTACGTAGTTTTCATTTTCTGTATTTTCATGTATTATTGTTTACTTTATTGTAAATACAGTTGAATTTCATAACAAATTTTTTAAATTCTTCATTTACCTTAAAGATACATGTTACCATACTGAAAAATCTATCTTTATTTCTAAAGAGTTCCTCACAGGAAATACGTTTTATTACTGATAATGTTTACTTATTATAACGTTATAACCACGAATAATAATGTGTGAACCGCTTTTAGACGACCTACTAACTAGGTTGTGATAAAGCGGTATATAAGAACCTCGAATTATTATTATTATTTACTTGAATAACAGATTGATAACACTTATTAAAAGGTGACAAGAATTCATAGTTTCATGACTTCATGGGTAGGGCAGTAATATTTGATAAAGCGGGAAGAGAAGAAAGATAAATAAGGTAGATAACTTTAGCACAACTCATTGTTCAGCAAGGTAACATATAGCCTTAATTCAAAGTAAATTTATATCAAAAACAGGCATATGTTTGTTCTTACTGGTTATATCCAATAATAGTTTGATCGAAATTTAATAATTATTTAAGCCAAGAAATAATTCCCCAAGTTCATTTTCGCCCTAAAAAACACATTGCATATTTTATTCAGTATTTCCCCCGTGTCAGACGGAATGTGATAACAATTTTACTGGTCAAGAAAATATTTCACTCGGTGAATATTTCTTGGTTTTTAGAAAGTGACTGCTAATGATGAGGAGTGACTGAATAGTTGTGAAAAGTATATTATCAGTTGGGATTCCGTGACCCTACAAAAGGACTAACCTAGGGATTGATTTCTAACATAAGTTTTAATGAATATCCCATGTTGCAAATGTAGTTTTCTTCAATTGAAATTTCATGAATATTTAAACATGTCCATCTTCCTCAGACCATTGCAGTTAAATGGAGTGAGTGAAACATACAAGTTCCTATGAATTAATAATTTTATATGTTATCAACAATTATTGATTTGTGTGAGTTCTTAAACTGAACATTCCAACTTTTTTAATGGACTTTTTGTATATTTTCTATAAATTCATAGAGTGTATAGGTGACCGCATTGTACCGCATTTACACTGAAATAAGTGCAGGGGGACGAAAAATAAATTCT